TATACTTTTTTTTATTACTGATATATCGGTTTTAAACTTCATCACAATTTTTTGTTTTAAAAAAAGACGAATTACCGTTTTTGTTTTTTCAAAAACAAAAATCACGTCAATTTCAATTAAATTTTTAGTTTTTTAAAAACCAAAAAATTTTCACTCTCTTGTGGGTCCTCTGCTTATTCTCTCTACCTCTTTCTCTCATGAAAATTTGAAAATTTTGAAAATTGACCGTCCAAAAATGCGGTACAAAATATATTGTTTTCAAAACTTAAAATCCATTTTTTATCTTATGTTAATGCATCTTGATGTCAAGATGATCAATTTGATGATATTTTGACATAAAAAAAACCTCTTGTAGTGAAATTTTTGATGCACACTCAATTTTGATTGTTTAGAACCTCTCTCTCTCTCTATATATATATATTATTTTTTTTTTTTGTGAGTTTATTTTAAGATCTTGAAGTCCGACCAACCAACTTAGGGATACTGGGGACTTGGAACGGTGGGAATCTCATTTACTCGGGCGGATACTTGGGACTTGGCACGGTGGGAAGTCTGACTTACTCGGGCGAGTCTCGGTTAGGCTTAGGATATTTATGTGAATAAAAAGAACGTCGCCCCCAGAAATTTCCCGTTTCGAGATGCGCCTAGGTCACTTGATTAGCAAAAGGGGTCGTATGCATGTATGGGCCCTAGAGGGGTTTGGTCAAAATATATATATATATTTTTTATTTTGCATTTAATAAATATTTTTATCAAAAATTTGGATTATATATTTATTATTAACTTGTGTACCAAATAAAAATAATAAAAATTATTTTTAATGGAATAAATTTACTAAAAAACCCATAAAATTTGTGAGGATATTTTGATCAATTATTTTATTAAAAATAAAATTTTTATTATTTTTATTTGTTGTAACTTATATAAAAAAGAATCTACGACTTAAACTGTACTTAAAAATAAATTTTAAATAAAAAATGTAAAAATAAAAAATTTGGGTCAATTATTTTATTAAAAATAAATTTATTATTATTATTATTATTTGTTGTAACTTATAAAAAAGAATCTGTAACTTAAATTGTACTTAAAAATAAATTTTAAATAAATTTTTTTTTTGATGTTGAACCGTTAGATAGTATGGTTTCAATCTAAACCGTAGAAAGGGTGCTTGTGTAGACTTTTCCCTCACCAAAATACTCTTAAAAACTTACCCAAAAAACAAAGAGGGTGCGGTTTATATAGAGCCCAGGCTCTAAACAATCAAATTAGAGCCTACCTTCAAATAGTGTAAAGAAATGTGGTTTCAATGTGAGAAATCTTTACGATAACCTTAAAATATATTTTCATATTTATTTATAAAGTTTAAAGCTTAAAAAATAATGTAGATTGACATATCTATAAAAACTTGAAAATCTTGAAATTATTGAGATAGGCTCAAATTTGATTATTTAGAGCCTCAGCTCTTTATAAACTTTTCCCAAAAAAAAAAAACTTTTAAAAGGGCAAGGTGCTGCTTGGTTGGCCAATAAACACTACGTGCACTCGCCAAAAAGCACTAGACCTAGGACATTTGATCATTTTAGTAAATAGTAATTATAAACCAAGAGAATGTTTGTAAATATTGTTTTCCTCATGTGAAAAGCTAAGGAGCAGTAGACAAATAGTGGCATTTACACATGTCAAAAATAGTGAAAAACTTTTGACAATGATATAAAAATATATATATAATGGGACAATTTATTTTTTATACAAGAATGTCATATTCATTATTGACCGTGGGATGTGAAATCGGATGATTGACAATATATTATTGATTGGACACAGTTTAAAATAAAAAATTTTGAATGTTGTGACACCTTTTATTGTATTGAATTTCACATTGCATGACTAAAGACGTTTGTGATCTCTTTATACTAAAGAGAAATGGAATCATATTATACAATCTCATAATATAACCCGATCTTTCGTTAACTGTGTGGGCACTACAAGTATTTAATACTTAATATTGGGAGATTATACCCCGCTCTAGTGGTGTATGAGGTACCAGGCAAATGTCTCCCATTAATCTATTATTTGGTCATATGACATCAACCATGCATAGGTGTACTTGATCAATACCTTTTAAGTTCGAGGACAGATGCTTTATGACTTACTATTGTGAATAATTTAATCTATCTTTAGTGTGATTTCCAAAAAGGCATATGCCGGAAAACGAAGTTTCCGGCAAAAACGCACCAGAATATAAAGAAGGCGAGAGGTGGCATGCACTTACCATTCTTAATGATGGATTAATTGTAGATGGGCAGTAATATACGAGTGGAAATTATGATTGATACACCAGTGGCGTTTATGTAGGATGTCCACCATATAAACAAGTTTTAGTGTACATTTTTGGGAGAATAACGAACCTTCACGACTTTACTTTTTATGCAACTTACTCCCAACCAAAATTTTTTTCTCACTTTTTTCTCTAAAATATACCTTTCTAACAAATACCCCCAAATAAAAAAAGGTACATTTTTTTTTACAAAAATACAATTTTTTGTACATAA